AGGGGAAATGCCAAGCACAGACCGGCGAGGGTTTGGCAGGGTGACACGGGGGACAAGGCTGGCACAGGGAGCAGCGCTGTGGGGCACCGTGGGGCAGGGCAGGGGGCAGTGAGGGGGCTGATGTGGAGTGGGACACCGTGTCAGGGGCATGGGCGGGCACCACGGGCAGGCTGCTGTGGGGAGGACGTGCCCGGAAACCGCCGGAGCCGGCAGGAGGAAGTGAGAGGCGCTTCCTGCCCAGGACGGTTAAGGCTGGCGTGGGGGGAAGTGACAGGGCGGGGGACATGGGGTGGGGAACGTGGCGCAGCCCCCTGGCACCCATGTCCAGCCCGGCCCCACAGCCTCCCTGCTACCTCCAGGGGGCAGGGGAATGGCCGTGGCCACTACTACTGTCATGGTGGCCACCAGCCCACCCTTGAGGGTGCTCCCCCAGGTGCCCCCCGTGTCCCCCCCCGCCCCCCCCGTGCCCCCAGCTCACCGATCTTCTGTGTGAAGATCTTGTCAAAGGTCACCTCTCCCCGGTCCTCCAGGTACTTCTGCATGACGCTGCGGATGCTGGGGAGACACCAGAGGGACTCAGTGCTCCCCGTGCCCCCCGAAAGACCCCTGATCCCAACACACTCCCGTGCCCACCATGCTCCTCCTCTCCCACTCCTCCCGTGTCCCCCAAGCCCCAGTGGCACACGTGTCCTCCCGTGTTGTGTGTCCCCACCCAAGTGCAACAAGTTGCTGGGCCCCTGTAAGGATCACAGGGTGTCCCACGCACTGGGGGTCCAAGGGAGGCTGGGGAGGAGGGTATCCCCAAAAAGCCTCCTGGGTGCCTGGAAGTGAAGGCACAGGAAGGCACCAGGGTCTGGAAGGGGGAGTGGGGACCCTGAGCATATGTGTGCACCTGGGCACAGGTGTGCGTGTGTGTAAACATGAGCGTGCCTGGCAGCAGGAGGGCAGGGGGGTGACGTGGTGGGGACAGAGCGGGTGTATACACATGACTCTATGTCCATGTCCGTGTGTCTCTGCGTTTGTGTCTGTCTGTTGGGCAGGTTGACTGTGTCATCCATGTCCATGTGTCAGCGTCTGTGTGTCCGTGTGACAGCCAGGATGTGTGTGTGCCCATGTCTGGGTGTCCGCGTCTGTCTGTCCGTGTCTCAGGAAGGATCTGTGTGTGTTCCCATGTCTGCGTGTCTGTGTGTATGTCAGGCAGGATATGTGCGTGCCCATATCCGTGTGCCAGTGTCCGTGTGCCTGTCTGTACGTCAGGCAGGATGTGTCCACGTCTGTGTGTCCGTGTGCGTCCATGACCATGTCCGTGTGCCCATATCCTTGTCCGTGTGTCTGTGTCCATGTGCCTGTGTGTCCACGTCCACGTCCGTGTGTCCACGTCCGTGTGTCCGTGTGTCCTCGCCCGTGTGTGTCCGTGTGTCCGTGTGCCGGTGCCGGGGCAGGACGCGGTGCCGGAGCGCACCCCGGGCAGGTGTTCCCGGCCGGTGCCGCGCACACACGCGTGCGGGAGTGTCTGTGACACGCGGGTGCGAGCGAGCGGCGCCGGGAGCGGCGCGGGACGGGATGTGCGGGGGCCCTGGGGGGGTCTCGGGGCTGAGAGCGGACGGACGGACGGACGGAGGGACCCCCGGAGGGGCAGCGGCGGGGCCTCACCTGGGCTCGGGCAGGACGATCCTCTTGCTGGCGCGGGCGGCGGGCGCGGCGCGGCTCTTCTCCATGGCCATCAGGTAACTCACGTCCGCCAGCACCGCCTCCAGGTCCGCCATCGTCCCGCGCCGCGGACCCGCCGCCGCCGCCCCGGCCCGACCCGCCGGCCCCGGAACCGGAACCGCGCCCGGAAGCGGAACGGGGCCGGGCCGGGGGAGCCGGGCGGGGGCGCGGGGAGCGGCCGGGCCGGGCCGGGCTCGGCGGCGC